TATGACATGCTTATGTAATAAAGTGTCACGTTAGTTAACGTAATTCCCAAGCGAGCGAGCAGCCCAAGCGAGCGAGCAGCAAAACTAGCATATCTCAACTAACCCAGAATTTAAATCAAATTATCTACTCCCACCAACCACTAATTAAATTAAATTAAATTACATGAAGTTGAGGACATCTTATTCTTGTATGCCCAACAGTATTGCAATTGCTGCAGCGTTGTGGCGCTCGTATGCAGAGTCTAGGCTCCGGAGCCGCAGGTACGGAATGTTGAATAACAGGCTGTTCAACAGACTCAGCTGCAGGAATAATAAGATTCTGAGCTTCATTCCTAGTTAGACCCCCTGCACTTGGGATCCTGCGTGTAGACCTCTTGCGTTTTTGCTTCTCTTTCTCATTTGCATTGAAAATATCCTCATACTGCTTCTTCATAACCATGGCGCTGACCATCCCGTATTCGCAGGCCTTGATTATTTGGTCAAAGCCTTCCACTAACCCATGAGGTTGATCCTGATCCATAAGATTTCTGACCTTATTCACCTGCTTCTGCAATTGCCGGGGGTTACTAGGTGTTTGTAGGATCCAGGATGACGTTGAATTGCTTGACCTGCTGGCTGGGGGAGTAGGGGTTCGGAGTTGAATATTCAGCTGCTGAACAACGCATTGAGGATCCAATGGAACTATTCCAGTGGCCCTGAACCCACTTTGAATGTTTGAAGCCTTGAAGGCTTCCCGACGTGCTGCAGGATAGGCATCTAGGAAATCTGTCTTCTTAATGGTGTTGAATCCTAGCCGCATTCGCTGTTCAACTAGGGTTCCGTACGCGCGCTTTAAAGGTGCAAAAACACCCACATCTAGTGGCTGCAAAAGGTGTGAAGAATGTGGTGGCATGCAGAGAGGAATAATCTTATTCTCACTGCAGATTTGGTCAAATTCCGGAGTAAGATGACTGCCGTGCCCGTCCAGAATAAGAAGAATATGGGTTCCAACCCTGCGTGGATTTGCAGCTGGAATAAACAGCCGTGTAAGCCATTTGATTCCTATCTCATCTGTGGTCCAGCCATTAGGACTAACGTCCAATCTCCAGCCTTCCGGCAGCCCGTCAAACCAGCCTTCCTGAATATTGTGACCTTTGAGGATAATATACGGCGGAGGGGCCCATCCTGACGCGTTGACTGACTCAATTGCAGTCACCCACTCACGATTCACAGGCTGTATAAGAGTTGCTCGTCCGTAGTGCTCAGCACTAGTAATGACCTTGGTAGTTGCACAGAGCCCCATTGCAAACCCAGCTTCATCAAAGTTGTAAATATCTTCAAACACAATCCCATGCTCAGTCATTACCCTCTCTAGGGTCTTAAACCAATCCTCCACAATCCTGCGGTCTTCACACTTGGCCCGATCATGGTTATAGCGTCTTGAGAAGCGGCATTGGAGCTCTGGACGGCGTGCCACTAGATTTGACACCCAGTTCTTGCCAACGCGAGGAGGGTGGTTTGTATGGCTAGGCTTCCGTATGGCAAGAAGATGATTAGCCATATTCTCCACAAATGCAGGCCGGGGTGGTAGTCCTCGTAAAGCTAGGTCTAGGATCCATTGAACAAGCTTATCCTCTTCAGCAGGAGTTAATTTATGTGAATTTGCGCGTAAATTCACCCGTGAAGATCGACCACTGAGTCTATGACCAAGTGTAGAGCGTGGCACATTAAAGATGCGTGCAGCTTCAGAAATAGAGGATATTTCCTGCTTTTTAATAGCATTTATCGCGAGTTCAAGTCTTCCCTCTATCTCTATAGAGTTCCTAGCATCTTTAGAGCGAATTGGTGGCATAATTGCGCGTTGAAGTGGATGAGTAGGTAAATTAGTAGGTGGAAGAATTTGGCTGCTCGCTCGCTTGGGCTGCTCGCTCGCTTGGGAATTACGTTAACTAACTTAACTAACTTAGAGGGAGGATGATTAGATAAGCCCAATCGAAAGATCGCTAATTATGACGTGGATAACAAAGGGCGGTGGTACGGTATAATTCTTCGGTTCCATTGTACAAATCACAGTGACTACGTCTGATGAAAATCCAGTGAAAATTATTGGAAATGCTAAACGAGCAGGATCTGACAATTGAAATGATCACGATCCGCAAGAGTAGAAAGTGCGCGCAGAAATCAGAGCAAGGCGAGTGAGATCAACCAGCACACCCAGCGATGGACGCTGTTTCGATATGAGCGGGTGCTAGGAAGGAGTGAGCAACAGTAAAGAATCTGAGGCAGATGGTGGGAGCCAAACTTAACTCACCTGTTTTAGTACCTCAATGGACATAGCCGAGGAGGTCGCTGAAACGAATCCAAAGGAAGCTGAATCGACAGGCCAGCGATCC